ATATAAAATATTTCTTTAAAAAAACTGGCACGTAGATATATATAAATGTTTATTATCTAAGATCCAGTATTTTATAAAATGTTTCGCTGTGCAGCTGGACCTTCTCTATTGATAATCTCTTCTGAAAAAAAATTAACTTTAAAAGAGTCGTTTTAATTGACCGTTTAAATCTGCATCCTTTCAAATTTCTGTCTTCCTCTCTCTCTCTCTCTCTATATATATATATGTAATAATAAAAGCAAAGGAAATGACGGAACACTGTAGATGCGTGATTAGACCCATATTGAAGAAGATTTTGATTGCGTAGTATGCTAGTAATGCTAACTTGGTAACATCTAAAGAACTTGGCAGTCGAGGCAGTTTTAATTCCATTTTTATTTCCAATTGATATTTGTGGCCACAATCACTTGGCACTCTAGTCGTGCCTTTCCACAGAAGATTTACATTTTTGATATTGTTGAGATAGAAAGCAAGCCAGCGAAATTACATCTTAGCAGAGTAGAGGGCAAAAGCTGAAGTGCGTAGTTATGAAAGATGGAAGCACGCGAAGAGAAAAGTTTTGGTTTACAAGGTCAGTTTCAGTTCTTAATTATTACGTCATCAGAGTTGCGCGGGCCATAGAGTGATCTAGAAATGACGCAATGCAGAGAAGTTATTACGATTTTAGAATAAAGAGGAAGAATTAATGTTTTTAGTTATTCTGATTCATATAATTTTATCTTACATATTCCCCCCTTCAAAAAGAAAAAAGGTGTAGCGACAGAGAAGCCTTTTGAAAGAGAAAGAGTTAAAGCACTAGCAAATGTAAAAAAAAAACATAAATCATAAAATTTTTGTCCTATAAAGTATAATTTATAAATATCAATTTTTTTAATAAAAAATTTTAATTTTTAGAGTCCTATTGAATTTTTCAGCATTTCAGTCCAAAAGTCTTTTTGTTTGAGAGTTCACATAATCATAATTCTTCAGGGAAGGTTCTTGTTATTACAGAATCTCACAAAATAAACTTTTACACAATCATTGCTTATAATAAAATGTAATGCACATAAATATTTATGATACTTATTTCCATACTGATAAATTATAATTTAACATCATAAATAATAGGATTAAGATCTTCAGAATTTATGGTTTCACCGTTATCATCTTTCATTTACAATTCCTGATTTTACCAAACTGGAAGCCTCGCAATACTTCTAAACAAACATATCCATCAATAGGGCTGTCCTCTTGAGCTAACCAGCGTGTTCTCTGCACTGGTGGCCCAGGGTGCCTAGGCAGTTACTTGAAAAGGCCACCGTTCCTTGCATTAAGGTAACTGGCCTTTCAGAACTGCACTAATACATTCCATAATAAAAAAATATAATAATATAAAAAATTTACATGCATTCATAAAATGAGAGCCTCCAACATTATCTTGCATGAAGAGGGTAAAAGGAACAACTGTACAGAGGTAATTACAGGCCTCTGTTGAAGGAACCAGTACACCCTCATCATACTATACTTAACACACAATAACCCATAAATTTTAACATGCATTTACCATAATTTCATATTACTTATCTGTAATAATTTCACTCATTTTTTTACACCTACTTCATTTTTAGAATAATTATAAAATTTGTATTCAAAATTCTCAACAAAATTTCAAAAACATAAAAACTTATCTTAATATCCTTCCCTATGAATAATTTAAATAGCTTAAAATTAATTACTTAATTTGCTCACACATAATTATGAAAAATTAGAAAAATTAATGAACAAGAATTTCAGATTTTCTCAAAACAAATTGCAGAAATTTTAACCAAAGTTGAAATGAAAACTATAGAATTCGCAACATATTAAATGATTTAGTTCCTGAGTTAGAGTCACACGAATGTAACAATTTTTGAGCTGTTGAAAAAGCGGAAGTGCAAATAATTTTCTGTCACACATACTTGCAAACACTAACTCGGATCGACCTTGAACCCGCTGTAATGCTGAATTCCTAAACGGTAATTCACTGATGATTTAAAGCACTTTTTTTCTAAATATTGTAGAGATCGGCGAAGCAAATTCAATATTCCTTTTCACTAGGCATTCGAACTTCTCAATTTATCGAGAGATTACATTCAATCTGTAAACACTACACGAGATTATTTTTTTGAAGCACTTGCAAAACACCACAGCAGAAGAATGATCTGTTATTTTTTAAACACTGAAAAAACAAATCTGATGATTCACTTCTTTCACATTATCTTGGATTTATCACAAAACGATGATTTGAAGAGCTGAACTAAATTTTCCATTGAGGTTTCAGGCTGCAGGAAACTATCCTTACCGGCTTAATTGTAATAATAAGAGCAAAGGAAAAAAGACGGAGCAGTGTAGATGCGTAGTTATCCTATATTGAAGAGGAAGTAATCTGATTGCGTCGTAAGCTAATGTGTTGACTTCGTAAATAAAACTTGGCAGTAGAAGCGATATTAATCCAGTATTTTATAAAATGTTTCGCTGTGCAGCTGGACCTTCTCTATTGATAATCTCTTCTGAAAAAAAAAATTAACTTTAAAAGAGTCGTTTTAATTGACCGTTTAAATCTGCATCCTTTCAAATTTCTGTCTTCCTCTCTCTCTCTCTCTCTCTGTATATATATATATATATCATAATAAAAGCAAAGGGAAAGACGGAACACTGTAGATGCGTGATTAGACCCATATTGAAGAAGATTTTGATTGCATAGTATGCTAGTAATGCTAACTTGGTGATATCTAAAGAACTTGACAGTCGAGGCAGTTTTAATTTTTATTTGCAACTGATATTTATGGCCACAATTACTTGGCACTCTAGTCGCGCCTTTCCACAGAAGATTTACATTTTTGACATTGTTGAGATAGAAAGCAAGCCAGCGAAATTACATCTTAGCACAGTAGAGAGCAAAAGCTGAAGTGCGTAGTTATGAAGGATGGAAGCTCGGCGAAGAGAAAAGTTTTGGTTTACAATGGCAGTTTCAGTTTCCAATTATTACGTCATCAGAGTTGCGCGGGCCATAGAGTGATCTACAATGACGCAATGCAGAGAAGTTATTACGATTTTAGAATAAAGAGGAAGAATTAATGTTTATAGTTTAAACTATAATTTTGATTCATATATTTTTATCTTACACACACATATATATATGTGTGTGTATAAATGTAATGATTGTGTTTAATTTCGTACATTCGTATAATAACGTGCATTAAATTAGTAACATCTGTATAACGTATATTTATAACGTACGTATAAATTTACATATGTTCATTGATTCTCTTTTTTTCATAGATACTGTTTTTACTGCTACGAAATAAAATATTGATTTTGAGATATATTTAATTACTTAAGCTCAATCAGTTATCCCATATTCAAGTAAAGTTTTATAAATTAAAAAAAATAAAATATTATTATTGATTTTTTTTCGTTTTATATTAAGTTAAATATACTTATAAAATTTTTAAACAGTTCTCTCATTCGGATAATCACAAATGGATCCTCCACGAAGTGGCTTCTTCTTTATAATTAATATTATCAAAAAATGAATAAAAAACCTAATCAGTCACAAATACTAAATTGTATAACGAATATCCTCTTACACATGCTCTAAGACAAATATTTTTTATTTCATATTTTATCAGAATTGCACAAAATCCCAAATATGAAGTAACAACATAAGTCAGAATTTCAAACAAAATAAGTTTGGGCTAGGGTAGGTTATTTGATAAACTATAGCAAAGCAAACGAGCGCTATCAATTTGAGGGGACGAATGCCTTCGTGGAGGTTGTTTTTAAAGGAAACTGATTTGTCTTCACATTGCACATGGAGAAATCACAAAAACTAAACACGTAGCTTTGTCCATTCGCCTGATATTCAACTCACATCAAACTCCTAGTATTCAACAGTCTTAACAAATTGGCCGTCAGTGGGGCCAAAAAAGAAAGGAAGAGCAGAAAAGTTAAACAGCAAAATGCATTGTTTAAATATTCTATAGAAAAGTATGTTGACATATCAACATCAGTAAACAAAGAAAGAAAATCTTGATGATCTGGATAGGTCAAATAATTAAGGCAGTTTGAGAGCTATCTGATTGCTTTCGTGGAGGACGTTTTAAGACGTTTCGCTGCGTGCTAATGACGCCTTCGTGGAGGACGTTTTAAGATAACTGACTCATGTCCATGTGACATATGGGAAAAACTGTGAAATCTCCTGTGCAACCAGCCCGTTCTGAAAAATTCAAACCGGAATCAAACTACCAGTATTCAACAACGTTGCCGTTTGGCCGCTGGCGGACACTATACTGGTGTATAGCAGAAGACAAAGTATAAAAAAAAATTAAATTAAGGGACATAAAATTTTACATACAAATAATTATTGCATTAGTATGTGTTATTATATTATTTGTGTATTTTCTTTTATTAAAAAAGATTAAGTGACATTATTTAATATTTTACTAGAAATCATTTATATTTATGGGCCCGCTAAAAGCTTAGTCAGACACTGAATTTCTGCATTTATGACTTATCGTGATAAATAATAATGAAGATATTTTGAACCGAACGGGGTAATAATGACTTGCTTCTAATTTGATTTGGAATAATTAAATAGTTTATTAGTTAAGACACAATAACACGCCGAATAAATACTAATTCAGAAGTCAAAGAACAAAAATCAGCGTTAATTTACAAAATTTTCACAGGACTAGTTTCGATGGTTAACTAGTCCTGTGAAAACTTAACTAGTCCATCGAAACTAGTCCTGTGAAAATTTTGTAAATTAACGGTGATTTTTGTTGTTTGACTTCTGAATTAGTTTATTAGTTGTTGAAAATCTAAGATGCATAAAAAAGTGAATTAATTAATTTATATATTTTCATTCTTTGCAATTATTTATGGCAATTAACAATTTTCTTTTTTTATTACTTGCAATAACACTTTTGACCATTTTTTACTCACTCCATTTGTTATAAATTTTTTAAATTATTTCACAGTTCCAGTCTTGCATTGGATATTGTCCTCAGTTGGACATCAATACGGATTATTTGACTGGTCGAGAAGTGCTTATTCTGTTTGCTCGATTGAATGGCTTTGACGGTAAAAGTATGGAGAACAGGGTAGATGCGTTAATAAAAATGTTAAACTTTAATGAAGCTGACAAACAATCTCAGTTCTACAGGTACGTGTTTCCTTTGTCTTATCCTTCATCAGAATTTTTGCTCAGTTATAAATCTATTGTAAATGTAATGTTTTTTACCTCTCTTTCTATATTAGTGGAGGTAGTAAAAGAAAACTCTCCATTGGCATTGCTTTGATAGGATCTCCACCTTTAATTTTTCTGGATGAACCAACTGCTGGCGTTGATGTTGTTTCCAAGAAGAAAATATGGGGTATTATATCTCAAGCAAGGATTAAAACGGGATCTGCTGTCATAATTGCTACTCACAGGCTAGTGCATGTTTATTTTTATAAGGCTGTTTTTTATACTAGGTTCATAAGAAAGAGAAAGAGAAATAGTGCAACAGATTAATCTGTCTTGTCTTCGAAAACTTTGTAACGTTACTAATTATTGATGCCCAAAAGGTGTTATCCTCGAGAATTTTTTTAAATTAAAGGTAAGCAATAACGTGCGGCATATACACGGGAGAATACTATATATTATGATTCTAATGAGTCTAGCTACTGTAATTTCATAAACTTATTTAATATTTCTAACTAGATATCTCATAATTTGAATGCATTTTTATTTAAACAAATCATATTAAGAGGTAGAAAAACTATTTTTAATAACTGTGTTTATTGCTTTTAAATGACTTAATTTGTTACTCAATAATATCGGCATTAAATCTGAAAGTTAATAATCTTCGGCTTTACTGAAGGGCAACATGCTGGGGCGTGGAAAATATAAATATTTTATTTTCATACATTGGTTTCACATAGAGGAGTTTCTTGATTAAAAAAACTGAAAAATTTATTGGTTGTGATGCTCCCTTTTATCGCTTATATTTACTCTCAAAGTTTAATTTGAAATTTGTAATTGTTTCGGACTTACCATGATGGACATTCTTTAAATTCAAAGATTCGTAGGAAACTTTTTTTTTTTTTTTTTTTTTTTTTTTTTTTTTTTTTGTCGAAAGAGAGAGTGCTTTGGGGACAGGCGTCCTGATGATTGCACTATTCCAATCCGGAAGTCGACAAATATCTTACATTTTGCCAAATGACAAAAATGAGGCTCCCCGAAAATAAAAATGTTTTATTCCAAACAGTGTTGCCTCTTCTCGATTTCAAATCATTGAGTTTGTAAATCAAAAATTCATTAAATGCACTCTGAAAAAAAATCTGATGTGTACACCATATGACTTCCTTGTACGGAATATTAAATTATACGCATTTTTTCTTGCATTTCATTTAAACTTATTGGATTGAATTAAATCTACTTTGCCGACAGCGCATAAACCACAATAGAATAAATTCACTCTAGTATTTGTTTACCATAGCGGCACTCTGGTGCTAGATTCACTTAACAGTATTATATTTCGTTCATATTTTAACTCATAATGCGCAAAATTTATATCATTTAAAGAATAGAATTATCTAATCGTTGCCACATGTTCTATTCAAATACTATAATAAAACTAGAACGATGTATAAAAGAAATTAAGCAAGGAAAACAAAAAAGAAACAGTTTTCACAGACGATTGAGTATTTCTCGTTCAATTAATTCAGTTCTCACTTCGCGAGAAGGCAAAAATACATAAAAACTCAAAATATCTATATTAAAAATTACGAAGTAAATCTGAAACATTTATTTCCTCGAAAAAATTCCAGAAATGATTAAGCATGATTTAATTGGCAATAATAAATGAAGCGTTATCTTTGTTGTTGCGAAGCTACGTTTCTCTAGATTGGCGACAAATCCACTAGTCTGCTGTTTCAAATGTAAACAAACAATAGTCGCCATCAAGAAAAGGGTTAGGCTTAGCGGCACTTAAACAACTTTAAATTGTTGATAATTCTAAAAATATTGCATACAGATTTACTAAAGGCATAAAAACCTTAACCGGAAGTTAAAAACAACATAATTCAATCATTTTTAAAGCAAAAAATGTACAATTTACAAACATATAAGAGTAATGAAACTGAGATCACTAGTCCAGGTAACATAGTAGATATATATATATAAATATATTAATATACGTTTGGTGCGGGCGATTGCAACCAAAATACGAGGTGCACATCTACATGTTATAGCAGTCCTATATACAAAATTTCGACGTTCTGAGGCTACTCGTTTTCGAGTTATGCGAGATACGTACGTACATACGTTCGTACAGACGTCACGAAAAATTCTCTTCAGAATTAATTTTAAAGCAGTTTTATAATTTTTTTGGAGGAAACGAGTCTTTTATTCTGTCCTTACGTGCAGATATCACGCAAAAACATCGTTAAATTGCATTCGATAGCGGTCAAAATGGATATTTTCGTTGAAATATGCTGCCTGAAGCTTTTCGCGATTGCAATACTTCCTTTTTACTTCGTACAAGGAAGTAAAAAAAAAATCGAAGCACCAGGAAGGACTTTTGCGATCGTGACGAAATTTGGTATGCAAAAACATCTTGATCCAACATCCAAATGAACAAAGTTTCAAAGCAAATGAACAAGAATTGCGATCATAGTGCGCAATTCGCAAAGTATAACACCAGTAACAGCGGCGAAAAATTTAAATTTTTTGGCTGCCATTGCAATTCCGTAAAGAAGCAACTCAAGATGCTACTGCGACGATATCAAAGACCTTTACCGACAACTAAACGACTTCGAACGTGGTTGCATTCTAGGGTTGCGTGAAGCATTGTGGTCATACCGAGCAATAAGCCGCCACCTGCAGCGTACAGACACTGCTGTGCAAAGATATTGGCAGCAATAGCTGTTACAAGGAAATTTCCGACGAAGTGGAGGTTCTGGAAGGCCAAGGACTACAAATGCGAGGCAAGATAGAGTCATTGTTCGCCAGGCCCGAACCACCCCAATGGTATCATTGTTGATTATCAAAGCACTACAGCCACGTCAATACCTCCCATGGTACCGTCCACCATCACACGGCGCTTGTCTGAGGCGAGGTTACGCTCACAGAGGCCTTTAAGACGTTTGCCTTTGACCTCACAATATCAGCGAAGTCGTCTGGAGTGGTCTGATGGCAGCCGATCATCATGGCTGCCATCAGACTGGTATCGTATAGTGTTCAGCGATGAATCCTGCTTCACTCTCGAAGCAGATGACCACCGTGTTCGTGGCTGGAGAGGACGGGGGCCAGTGGTCCCAATCAGCTTTTGTTTTAGAAAGGCATACTGCCATAATCCCTGGTGTGGTGCGCTATTTCTTATGACAGTAGGTCATCTTTAATCATTCTCCGTACATCTTTAGCAGCTCAACGATATGTGGATACCACCCTGCGGCCGGTTGGTTGCATTATCCTTCATGGCACGTCATCCTGGGGCCATTTTCCAACAAGATAGTGCCAGGCCATATACCGCTCGATTATCTCTGGATTGTCACAGTGCGGTTGATACTCTCCCTTGGCCAGGAAGTTCACCAGACCTTTCACCAATCGAGCATGTTTGCTAATGGTGGGCCACCAGATTCGGGCACCACAAAATATCGCAGATCTGGAGCGACAACTGATGAATGCCTGGCAGAATGTGTCGCAGGATAACATGAGGAACTTCTACCATTCCTTGCCTCGACGAATTCAAGCATGCATTGCCGCCAGAGGCGATTCTACCAACTACTAATTTGAACACTCAATGGGTGATTGTTAGCCGTGAACAGGTATTATGACCTTGATTTTTTTAATCATTTTATTATCTGTGTATGAGCTATACACATATTCATTTCCATCAAAAACAACCACTTCCTTCACTGGTAGTTCGGTTCGAGGTTTGAATCCCGCGAACGGGCTGGCTGCATGGGTGTTTTCGTGGTTTTCCCCATGTGTAACGTGTATACGAGCCAGTTTCCCTTAAAAAGTCCTCCACGAAGGCATCGCTCCCAAGGTATCCGAACCTCGTACAAAATACGATTTTCGGTCAAAATTTCGATTTTTACTTTATTACATTATTTTAAAGAATACATCTTTGGCTATCAAATACAAGTTTCTGCTTGTTGATAGGTTAATTAGAACTGAAGTTATAACAATTTTTCTGTAACGGAATGTGGTGTTACTGGCGTGATCGCCAAAAGTGACGATACAAAGAATATCAAATACAAATTAATTTTGCGTAAATACTTAAACTAAAATTTAGTGTTTAGTACATTGCATAATCATTACTAAATAGATTAACAAGACTTACCCAATGATGAATGCATGAGCCAAATATTTTCTTTTTTTTCAATCTCATATTTATTTTGTCGAACATATTTTCTGGATTAAATAAGGCACATTTATCACATACATATAAAATACTAAAATATCATAACTTAGACACACACACAATGCGATAACTCAAATGGAATGTTCGTGGAGTGCCGAAGCTTGACTATTCGCGCAATCCTGCCCCATCGAATAATTTTGCGGTTGAAAAGTTGTCATATTCATTTTCGTATTATCGCGCTGTCTGGTTACACACTTGTAAGCTCTTCTTTTTTTTTACATTCACGTTATTTTTACACACTTATCATCACGTGGTGACACATCGCTGGTCAAGCACATCTTGAAGTCGAACACCTATTGATATTCTGCTTGAGCGTTTATTTTATGTTATTCACATCAGCAGGACTTAGTGAGTCTCAAATCAAACACTCTACTTTAGGTACTGGATCTCTTCATTCTGCTTCTTTCTCTGCAAAAATACGACGACATTCCACGTGCAAAACTAGACAGGAACAATGGCGACTGCTGAGTGTGTCGGGCCACACACACTCGTTAACACGACGTCAGGCAGCAAGAGGGGAAAGAGGAAAAAAGAGACAATCCTTGATCCTTGATCCTCATACTTTTAAGTAGTATCAGCCCTACTGGTCTTTGACTAATATAAATCTCTTCGATGACATCATGGAGTATTCGTAAAAGCTTTAATAAAAGCTATTTTTGGCAATAATCAAAGTTGAATTTCAGATGTTGGAGTCTTCCTTTGAAAAATCTGTACATTTTAAAAATTCTTGAAAAATATAATATTAACACAAATAATAATAATTCACACAAAATACAAGTAGTAAAAATTTTTCTAGGTTAAATACGGAGAAGATAAATATAATACAAGTCCTGTTTGTGTTTAGCGTTCGGTAGGACCGAACCGTCGATCTCGTTGGGCAAAAATTTTCCTTGGTCTGTGCCACTCGGCTACGTCATCATCTGTGTTCTAAGCGCTAATAAGGGCTTATACGAAGAGTTCCAGTGCTTGTAGGGCGAAATCTAACTTTTCATTTTCATTTGAGACTTTTGTGAACTTGTG